CAAGACTACTTTTTTCTAGTGATAATTTTGATCTTTTTCTACAAAATACCTACCTAATGTAGAAAAACATTTGATATCAATGTTTAACGGACAAACTTATGCACGCATTTCTCTTTGGTATACTTGTGTCATGCTTCCAACATGTAAATGTTTATAACAACTTTGATTAAATTAGGAACAAATGTCCTTATTTAAATATATGTTTTCCTCTCAAAGTAACAAGCAAATGTGAAAACTTTGGTATAGTAAACACTGTAAAATACCAGGCAATATTCCAGCCTAAGAAAATTAGAAAAATATATTTCTGTATAAATCATTTTAGAATAAAAAAGTTGCTACTGAAGACAGAGATCATGAAAGTGTACAAACGTTAAAATTCTAGGTACTGGGACCTAAAAGACACCAGTTAGAAACAAAATGCCATAAATAAGCCAATTATAATCTAAACAAAAACAGCATGTGCTTTGACCTTTCACATGTAGTGCCTTGTTTTAGTGGAACCAAAAAGTGCTGTGAACACAAATCTGTGTAAGCCAGAAACATTAATCTGGCCTAAAAATATTACATACAACATTCACCAGCAGAGTAGTATGAAAGCAAGGATAAGTGAACACTGAAACAATAATAAAAAAACTGGAGTTTATTCTGTAGACTCAAAAATATTTTATTACACTGCCCCATGAGTTATTTCACCCACTTCTACACTATGCAAAAGCACATTGCCAAAGGCAAAAGAGTTGTAAGAGTACGTGAAGCAATGAAAAAAAGGCTATCAAGTCTTCAATTTCTGCCTAATGTTTACCACAGAAATGATTTTTTTGTTTTACCCTCAGTAGGTGCTTTCTTGCAGGTGCAGGTGTTCACTTTAAATGATTATTATCCCTGAAATCTACATTCTGGAGAACTATTCCTGGTGAGCACCCCTATTTTCATATCTTAATCAGAACCATATTTTTTTAAAGTAAAACCATTTCCCTTTTCTGTTATTTAAATGTGTATTTACCTAGCAGGACTTGCCAAATTTTGCATTTTCTAACTGCGGAAATATTTTCTGGCACACACATGAAAGCTCAGAGTCTGTGTGTCATATCTAAATATTGCTTCCTTTCTTTTACAACACAATGGTTTAAAAAAAAGGCACATGTGTGGGTGGGTGCGGCATTTTCTGGTTTTAAGAAAAACACAGCTATACTGTGTATGTAAAATCATTTTTAAACATAATCTATATTTAATCAAGATCTATGACTAAATATTCAGAAAACAGAATGATCACTTTTGCATTATGTTCTTTCCTAATTGATCCTGGGCATACTCTACTTCTTTAAAATGCACCATGAAACTGCTTTGCCATCCCAGTGCCACATTCTAATTTACCCTACAAAGCATCCAGGTTGAAGTGATTTGATTTCCTTTATTTCCTTATTAGAACCTGGAACTGTAAATTCACTGAATACCTTATGGCTACTAGAAATCAGTTAAAACAGTAATATACAATTTTATCAATACACAAAAACGTGCCAAATAAAGCAATGTAGGGGTATAGATGAAGAAGTCTGACATTTAATTGATTACGATACACTTAAATGGCTGATGGATGGTGCGGTAGTTAGCATTGCTACCTCACAGCGCTGGGGCCCTGTGGTCAGTTCTGGACTTGAGGTGCTATCTGCGTGAAGTTTGTATGTTCTCCTCGTGTTTGCGTAGGATTCCTCCAAGTGATCCACTTCCCTCTCACAGTCCAAAAACATACTCGTAGGTTAATTAACATCTGAGAGAACTGGCTCTTGGTATGAGCACGTGCGTGTTTGGGTCTGTGTGTCTGCCCTACAGTGGACTGGCAGCCTGTCCAGGGTGTACCCAGCCCTGCGCCCCATGCTTGCCGGGATAGGTCCAAATTCCCCGTAACCCTGAAGTGGAAGAAGTGGTTAGAAAATAGTTGGATGAAGAAATGACTGATCAATCACTCAGGGATTAGAAGAGAATAGTTAAGGGAAATTTAAATCATCACCTGACCAAACTTATTCTCCAATCTGGCCAGGTTACTGTGAGGAGTAGGGTATTCCCCACAGTCTTCCAAAAACCTATGGATCTTGTCTGGCTTTACTGGTAAAGAATAAGGTAGCTTTATGTTGTATGTTAAGTAATAGTGCCTCTTATGAAGATCTTATTAGACAGAAAATAAATACATTTTGACATGGGCAAGCTTGATAACAGTTGTAACCAACTCTTTGTTTCCATCTGTAAGAATTACTTATTTAATTACTTTCAATTCAAACCTTAACACAGTGTAGAAAAATTCCAACATGAAAACAAATCTAACAGAAGTTTCAAACTCTTAACCCTTTAAGCTTTAACCATTTTTAAGCCTTAAACCCTAACAAAATAAAGATTTTAGAGACAAAGACTGTGATGTTGTTGTATACGCTCTTTATAATAAAAGGCATAAGAATAAAATAAATCTTATTCTATGCAGTTACTGAAAAAAGTAAACCTGATCCACATTGTAAGCCTCACATTTGTACATTACGCCTGAGTTAGAGCAGACATTATACTGAGTATCAAAAGAAAATTATCAGTATAATTTATAAAATTATAAGTGGTTTTATTAATAGGGGATATTAATTTTGGAAACTCAATGGACTGTGAAATGTTCATAAGCACTGAATCACCCAATCAGTAAGACATATGATTGGGCACAGGTGATGAGGTAATTTAACCCACTGAATGTCAAGCCTGGTGAAAATTAAGAAAAAATAGAAAGGAACCAATATGCTATGCTTATCAAGAGTGCAATGCCTTTGTTCCATCCATATATTGAAGACTACTCTTTGACAGTACACTATTTCTTACTGTCAGAGATGTTCACAACCTTCAATTTCCAACCTGTCAAGATGATACAACCAAGCACGATCAGTCAATGATAAAGACTACAAGTCACAACACCAAGTAAAAAGTATTGGGTGGGATAACAATGACAGTCTGGACAGGAGTTTCAAGTCACTACAAAACTCCACCTGTAATAGCTTAAGACTTATACTTAAGAATAACTTAAAAAAGAATCAAGTTCTAGGACCTCACTTGCTGCCCTTTATGTGGGCTCCTTCTGCACAACACACATAATCATGCTGCTCATGTAACAACAGCTTTCTTGTGAGATGAAAATGTAACAGTTATGCTCTGAGTGCTCTACTCATCAGACTTGAGCGCCACTGAACATTTCTGGGCTAAACTGGGACAACATGTGACATGTGACAATCTAGAAACTCAAGAGACCAGTGAAAACACACCTGTTTGTCCACGTCCTCAGAGAGAAATCGAACAGAATCTCACAACAATATTTATAGGTTGGTACAAACCAGGCTTTGCGGACTTACAGCCTGTATTGCATCCCTTAAAAGTTAAATTGAGGCAGAACTGCTGTAATTTAGATTATGACTTACTTTAATTGTATTACCTTCTAAGCAGTACAGATGACTAGAAAATAACAATATAATTATGTAGGGAGATACTACTTGGGTATAATGAGATAGCAGACACGTGGCTTCAAAGTATAGTTTACACATTTGTGAGATCTACCTTAGAAAAATGCATCAATCATCATTCACCAAAGCACACTGAGCAGGTTAAAGGCATTAGAATTCCTTTTTTCCAGACTACAGACAGCATGTGATTTCAAAATAATAAAAAATGAAAACAATTAGTTGTGTAGCATCTTAAATGCCATGCGCATCTATAGCTATTCCTTCAGTCTTTTGACATAAGTTTGTCGAAAAAATACGCATTTTTTTGTTAACACAATTTCCTTAAATTGTTTATCCTTATGAACTTAATTTCCTTTAAGCTGAACAAACTTTTAATATACTGTTAATTGGGTAGACTGTATATAGGTTATTACTTCTGATTTGATATTTTATTTACTAAAAATATTAAAACATCCAAGAAGCAAAATTAAATTGGTTTAACCAATTCCAATACACACTGGAATAACACCAATAACAGTCATTCAATTTATATTGACTTCCTCTATTTTCCAGTGCAGTTTTAAAGCTACTGTGTTGTTTCCCTTGCTGATTCATATTTATAGCATCTACCATTCATACGTTGTTAAAATAACCAGAAGAACATAAATAACATGAATATTAAAAATCCAATGGAGGGGCAGAGGATTTCTGATACAAACACAGGAAAATACTTTGCATTTAGGAATCTGAAAGGAAAGTAGTACTAACACAACATTGTTATGTTTCTTAAATCAAGGATTAAAAGTTTTTTATGTGTATTTCTTAAACATATAAGCAACAGTTGATGCATATCCATTCTACACAGACACGGACAGACATCTTCCGAAATTAACAGAAATTAACCAAAAAATGTTTACATCAACTCAGACATTAAAGCTTGACATTGGTTAACAATTTTTCTATGAATGTATGATACAAATATGATAAATTAAAAAGGATTTTGGCAAGTACTAAGCATTTTTTTTTTACAAAACAGTAAAGATCAAGATTGAATAAAGTTTGAAACTGAGCAGTCTACATACAACGTGATGTTCTTCACTGGTCTCTTTAATGGAGTGCACCACCCTACAAATAATTTGGTTTCTAAAATTGTCCATTGAATATCCCCATAAGCTGAATGAAGACTAAATTCCAATCCATTTAAAAAGTATCCTGTGGGGATACAGTGTACCCTAGCAATACAATTTTTCATTTATGGCTACTCTGGAACCAGTATTTGAGTCGCATGTGACTTTCAGCAGTTATTGGAAAATGCCAAGTGATTAAAATGCAGCCAGCACTGTGTCACAATTTTCATATGAGATGTCTATCAATGGAAGGAAGTTCCATCAATGCTAGAGAGTAAACTGAACATTAGGCTGTGTGAACTGTCAAATCCACTTATTAAGCAGTGTTGCTATCAAAGGTTTCCACAGTAGCCTCAAGACAGGAAACCCATTCCTAACTGCTGCATGAAGCATAGCAGGATGGCACACTGACCTCTGTTCTGTGAAAGGAACTCTGGCATTTGAGTTTTGATGGATTACTGGGCTTTAAACTAGAAGATAAAAATACATTTTGAAAAGGTTAGAGTCTTTTGCAGGAATGGCTGCTTGTCACTGAAATCCATTTACAACTTATCATATTTCTCTCATGTAGGTTCTGTAACTTTCTCAAGTCATCTCTGCACCACCCCCTCAGCAAACAAAACTGTGTAAATGCCTAGAAACAACCAAAGCAATGTTTTCTGCAACCAAAAAGGAATGCCTAAACATGACACTATGGTGATGAAATTTCTAGAGCTCCTGGTTATAAACATCTACTTTTTAAAAAATTCTAGATTTGTGACCGAGGCATTACATACATACTTTTATGTACGATATATGATTATGTATGATTTTTACTGACGTCAATGAGTCTCAAACAGTCATTGAGCTGTGCACATGATTGCGTGCATTCACTGGAACATCTACCATGCATAGCTTATCATTACTTTTTGGATTAAAAAAAAACTTTTCTCTTGCACATTAAGTGGGAACAGACCAATTTAATACTATAGCTCTAAACCTTCGAAATACTAAGTGCCCACAATTTCTGCATCTTATATTTCGAACTAGAACTTTGCCAATATGAGTAATAGTTCACACATACTTGGTGGTGTTGCCTTTTGCCAAATGAAACAATGTGTTAAATATGTAGAAAAAGATGAGGGCATCACAATTCTCCAGTGGTTAGGCCGATAACGAGACACGAAGCTCACAGAGCAAGTGTGCGTTATATTCTTAACCACTATCCAGTAAACCTACTCCTACAGTACATCCAGAAGACACCATGACGCATTCTCGTATACCAAGACTGCTGATACAGTATTGTCCACATAAAGCACAGCTTTACACAAAAACATGTGTGGTGTACATGTGTTTACTTTGTCTAAATTATTTTAGATTAGTAAATCCATGCAACCAACAGTACATCCACGCTCACTATATAAAACACGAATGACAGACTCGTATCCATTAATGCCAAATGTTAAAAAGGTTGTCGCGTTAAGCAACAATTCAAATAAAACAGCCGTACCTGCTAGAACATAAATTAATCAGACAAGCAGTGTGAACATGAAGGTTTTTAATTAATTCACTCTACATGCACCGACATTTCAACGTATAGAAACCAGTATGGAATGCAGTTCGGGTTTTAGTCTCGGGTAACTAAAAACTACATGAAATGAAAGAGAAACATTTTCGTATGATTCAACATCCAGGTGTCTTATACTAGAATTCATGCATCAGACAGTCATAACGTCTTTCAGGAATGTATCGGTTGAGCTGCTACTCTGTGAAACTAGCAACTAATGATTTCGTGCGACTTAGAGCTTGTAAAAATTAATTCGCTTTATTTTTAAACACGTCCACATTTGACCAGATCTATTTTATCGGTTTAGTTTTAGGAGGTTCGAAATTATAACCTCCATCTAGCATCATATAGCAGGTACTTGTTACAAATGGTTATTTCCAGTTGGGTCCTCTTGGGATACAACAGCTGTAGCGGAAGACTAAAAGTGCAATTAATTGCAGTTGCGAGAAATATCTGCAAATAAGAACATGTAGCTGGGGAAAGGGAGACTGCCTGCTCACATCGTCGACATTGGAGCGAGTGCTTGGCTAAAACTGAAAAGGTTCTGCAATTAAAAGCTGAAAACATGCAGCCGTCATTGGCGAAGACAAGTAACCGTTTAAATTTCGTTTCTTTTGGAATGCAGCACCACGTATCAAACGTACTATAAAACCGCACTATCTGTCCCCCCGATCTTCACAACACAGAGGGGTGAGAGGCAAACGAGAGGGCCATCTGGCTAATTTTACCCCGACACCAGCACAAGCACTACCGAGATCAATCTTACTTACCGGTTATCTGCCTGCCAATAATCCAAAACAAATGCTCTTCCGGTTGGAAGGAAATTGCAACCTCAGCGTTAGGTCCACATTTCAAATCGATATATACGTATGTTTATTTTCCCACGAATTACCCCTTGATGAGATTAAATCTAGGAATAAAGATTCGCTCTAGGTCGGTGTACATAATCAAGCCCGCATTGTTCAAGGAGGGCTGGTTTAGGCAAGAGCTGCTACAGCTAGTGCATTCTGGGAACATACCCTAAACTACAGAAGAGCGGCTCCCCCTGATGGTCACAAAGGTACCTTAGCGATTATGCAAAGGTATTTCATAAACGCTGAGATGATGCCGAGAGCCGGACACTTCAAATATTACAACACAGTGCGCAGAAATATACAGTTAAACTAAATTCTGGGGATTGAATTGTCAGAAGACAGTCATTATCTGTATTTCTTCAGACAGCATTACCACAACAATAACACGTATTTCTTGTTTCAATAAATTTATGGTAATTGACCTTTTATCCATATGTAAAGATAAATTAAAACACTAAAAATAACAGATAATAATATATCTTTGAGGTATGTATTGTGTGCTAAGTTAATGACTGCCATGACTGCCTCAGACACCTTAATATTACATAACAATATAAAATAACCTTACAATTTGTTTTAAACTATTTTTTTAGGTGAATACTACATTTCATAAAATATCATTAAAAAATGTCATATAGAAATTATGGGATCACTTAGACATCTCTCTGAAATGGAAATAGAATATCTAGGAATTGCTAGATTCTCTTTAGTAACTACTGGGTTATCTAGGATACTAGAATATCTGCTGCATCTAGTAGTAGAATATCTACTGTAGTAGGAACATTTGTCTGCTTTCTCACAAAAACAACAGGCTACAATTTGCTGGTACTGCAAAGCAAAATGTTCTCATCAACTTGCTCTTTCTCTGCCATCTCCTTGTATCAGTCACAGCTGTACCTGCCTAGGGCATTGTAAAAAAAAAAAGGCACAAGGCAACTGAAAAAAACAAGCTTGCTGTTCTTATTTTCTCCCTAACAAATAGGTCGCAGTAATTAATTTGCATGTATCCCATAATGCATACTGCCATTTTTTAAACACTATAATCCCAAATGGTGTTTTACATAATATATCTAAACATTTTAACAGTCAAGGAACAGCCGTATTAAACTAGCACACTCTCCTAAAAGTGAAACTGATACCAGTGATCGCGTGCCTTGAAAAATTGCATAAAGCAGACTTAAACTCTCTTTAGATGTTTTGTTTGTAACTTTGAAAGGGGTCATAGCAACTGAATTGGCACACACAGTATAATTCATAAGTACTCTAACGTCAAAATCAGTCCACCTTGACAACAATGCTGATATTATTTATAATACATTACATCAACATACAGTATTAAAGAAATACTGTTCCCCTTACTTCCTTGCTTTGTTAAGCAACGACACTTGATAATGACAAAATTTGTCTCAGTAATACCATCTGCTTATTTTCTAGCCTTTCCTCAAGCAAAGGGTACCATTACAGACAGTATATTTGGTATTAGCAGAAATAATAGGTTGTATAAAGTAGAAAATTAATTTGCGTGGCAATTAGCACCGTTGCTTTATAGTTCATGGGTTCAATACTGGACCTTGGTATCTTCTGTGTGGAGTTTGCATATTCTCTTGCAATCTGTATCTGTTTCGTCCCACAATCAAAAGACATCTTATAGTCCTGCTTTGTTCACTGCTACTTGTTAGGCTCAGGTTCAGAATGACCATCAACTATGAAATTGGACTGAAAAATGACTAGTTCCTGTACAATGGAACTGAAATATCTGTAGGTCATGGAGCAAAAACAGTTGATTATCTATATATTTTCCACAGGAGCCCCCAAATAGTGTAACATTAGAAACAGACAATCACTGACAATTAATTACAAAGTGGGCTAGCCTGCAACACATTGTGCACAAACAGCTTACCATTCCAAGATAAGATAGAGAAATAGCCTCAAAAAGTAAGTAGCCAGTTGAAATGGGGAGGGATGGCAGAGATGATGTTTCAGATTGAGAAATCCCGAATCTGAACTTTGCTCTGAAGGTAACATTTCAGCTCTTACAAGTAGCGTTATGGGTTCTTTGGATGACTTTGATAGAGAGGACCTCAGCGAAATGTCTCGTTGAAAAACAAGAAGTCAAAATGTTCAGTTGGTTTGGAGAAAGTGTGCCACCTATTGGTCCATCAGCAACATTTCATGTTCTAGTCTGTTTCCATTAGTTATCACCTAATGATAAACTCACTAGGCTCACATTTTCTTACCGTTTGAGATCTAATGGCATTGCTGTCATGTCAACAACAATGTTGTTGTTTCACATGTCTTGTGGCTAATATCTTTATTCATTTTCATTGCCAACATAAAATGGAAGTTACAATTTAACCTAAACAGATCTATTTTAGAATGTCATTTTCCATTTTTGATGGTTTCTGTACATTTCTGGTCAGTGAATAAAATGTACTGATCCCAGTTTCTGAATGAACCTGTTGGGGCAACAACTCAAGGAAAAGTTACAAATAAGGGGACACATTTGGTACATCTCTAATTACAGGGATGCCAATAATTACTTTGGACCAGTGACATCCGTATGATTCTGCCTAACAGATAATGTATAGTTGAACACTGCCAGGACTATGATCAACTCTCATTTAACAATGTTAAGTTACTAGAGGCAAACTTGTGCTTTACTTTTACAGACTCCAGAAGTGATACATATTTATTATTTATTATACATACTTATTTATTATTCACAAAACTCACATCCACAGGTCCATCCTTCAGTGTTTTCTACGTTCCTCCTCCCACCTGTGCTACGAACTGCAATGCATCTACAGTCTGTTTCAGGAAAGCAGTTGCAGAATTTCCTGATCTTTCGGTCATCACCTGGCCAATTGTCTGCTTCCACTTGATCAGGTGATTGAGGGCACCAGATCACTTCCCACAACTTCCTGTGGAATGTAGTTCAACACCTTGGACATCGTAGGGCACACACAGACACAAACTCACATTAGTAGCAAAATCCTCCCCTTTCTCACCCAGTATTCCACATCAATGCTAGACCGGTATTACTGTAACATTATATAAGAGCTTCAGGCCTCCCACACAGAAGGGTGCCGTTATAATTAGGCCACCAATACAGACCACCTGAGAGGCAGCCTTAGAGGCTCATTTGACCAGAGGTCTCCAATCCTTTTCTGGGGGAGGGGCAATGTGTCTATAGGATTTATAGGTTTCAGCAGCTATAGAACTGGGAGAAGCTGTTAAATTAACTGATTCAGCTCATTATGAGCTGTGCTGAAGTGAAAGCCTGCAGACATACTGTGTCATGATCAGGAACTTGTCTTTCTTCTCTTCCCCCTCTTCCCATGCTGTTCTATTATTCTAGCCCCCCAGTGAATTTGTGCATAAAAGAGTGAAAAATGTCTTTTGAAGCACAATACATTTATATCTAGACATGATTTTAATAATGAGGAAATAATGAATAACGAGACAACTGATGAGGCTACTGTAGGTAACACATTCCTCTCCTGAGGGGCAAGCATGGGACAAAAAATGGATGTGGAAGCAAGAGAATGGAGTAGGAATACATCCAGTTTGGTGGAAGAGAATTCTCCTCCTTCCTATGCTAGGCGAGAATTAGTTTTCTGAATAGAGTGATTGCAGCAATAGGAAACCAGCAGAAAGACTGGAGTAACAAAAGGAAAGTGAGGAAGTGGAAATATGAGACAACCCACAGAATTCTGGATGATGTAAAGTGGATGTGTTGTATTGCCAAGGAGGCCAAAATGGTTTTACAGCAATTTGATTATATTGGGAGAAAATGGTTGCTCTTTTTTTTCAAGAGACTTAATCAACAATCTTTATTAATTCACTCATATGCATTGTTAACCAGTTCCAACACAACCATAATATGAAATATTTGATGTGAGAGCAGGGGCAATATGAGCCCTTGATTCATATGGTGGCACAGTGTTACAGTGATTGCATTACTGCCTCACATTGCTTGGGCCCTGGATTCAATTTCTGGGGTGCTTGGAATTTGTATGTTCTCCCCATGTTTGTGTAGGTTTTTTCCACCCATGGTCCAAAAACATGCTGGTATAGTAGGTTAAGTTGCTTCTGTAAAACCTGGCCCTGGTGTGAGTGTGTGCATGATTCTGTCTCAATGTGCCAATAGATGGACTAGCGTCCAATCCAAGGTCAATCCCACCTTGCGTCTGTCATTTACTGGGTAAGGGTCTGACTTCCCTTGCGCCCGTGTGCTGGATAAAGTTGTTTAGAAAATGGATGGATGATTCGAGCCTAGGTAACAACTAAATAATCAGAGTGGATATGTCGTGAACAATCTTTTAAAAAAGGTGCATCAGTTTTAAAATGAAATAATTTAAGGGTCCATGTCCTTTATCAGGTTTTCAGACCTGGCATACCCAGGTTTTAACCTAGGGGCTTCCAACCCTAGTTCAGCAGTCCAGTAAGTTTCATGGGCAGGCTCTAAATAAATTACTGAAGGCCAAGGAAAGTTCAATTAAGTAATTCAGAGTTTAGAAAAACATATCTGAATATCCTTCAGCCCTCAATAACAAGTGATCTAAAATTGATCAGTTATATAAACAACCATTCCTAATCTTTAAAGAACAGGTGAGCTACTAAGACCTATAAGAAGAACTGACGCAGGGTTTTCCAGGACCAGGGTTGGAGACCCCTGATTTAGACCTTGTTTTTATTAAATTAAAACTTCAATTTCCCCACCAATCAGAAGCTATGTAAACTTTATATTTCAGGTCAGGTTTCCCTTGGGTTTAAGGAAACATTAATTAAAACCCATGGATATCTTGTTTTGCAGTTTACAATTATGGTAATTAATATACACAAATAAATATAGAAAATATAATGATTTAAACCTTTGATTTAGTTGGCACCTACAGTATGTTGCAGTAATTTGCCCTTCAGAATAGCATATGGTCTTAAAGGCAGAAAGCAAGTTCTGGCACATAATATCCATGAATTGTATTCTCCTCTTATGAATCATAAATTAAACATGCAAAATTTGTTCTTGGTTTGACTTAGTTAAATTGCAGACTTCAAGATTCAGACACCATATGGAAATGTTATTCCAGTATTTGGGCAGTCCAAATCCACATTGCATTAACCAAAAAACAAGTTAATCT